ACCAGAAAACTACTCATCCAGTGACCAGTATATTTGCCCTCTACCAGACTCCTGTACCCCACTGGTCTGGGTCTGTCACACTTGATAACAGAAAGAAACAAGTATCAGAGGGGTAGCCGTGTTAGTCTGGATCTGTAAAAAGCAACAGAGTCCTGTGGCACCTTTAAGACTAACAGATGTATTGGAGCATAAGCATTCACCCACGAAAGCTTATGCTCCAATACATCTGTTAGAAAGAAACAAGTGATTTAGTCTCCTACACTCTCAAAATTCTTTAGTCTTTGCTTTCATGAGACCTACACTTTAGCATCAGACTCTATTCTGGAGAGAATTTGGACATATTCCACTAGAACCAAGGCAGCTTAAATGTAATGCCTTAGATATATTCCTTTTTTACAGATCTATAGGGCTGCAACATCGAGCTCTTTGCAAACATTTTACAAACCCCTATTCTCTGGATTTAGCATCCAGATTGGATGCACAATTAGGAAGGGCAGTACTTCAATCTCTCTTTAATTATAGGACTCACCTTCATCTAAAGGGAGTACTGCCTGTCACACTGTCCCATGAGTAGGATTATGCAGAGGACACTCAAAGAAATAGAGGTTAGTAAACCTGCAACCAGAATTCTTTGAGATGTACTTTGTATATTTACGATCTGAATCCACCCTCCCTCTTCCTTGGAGTCCTAAGTACAACCTGTGACTTGGAGGAGGCGGTGCAAGTCACTGAGTTAGGTGAATTGCCTGCCCCCTTTTATAGCTTTGCCATCAGTAAATTCAGGAACTGTGAGGGCAGGGGTAGGACAGGGTGTGAGAGCTCCAACTGGCACTGCTTCCTAAAGGTTTCACCATCACAGCTGCACCAGGGGTCCCTCCCATGAGTGTGAATATTTAGGAATCATTTAAAGGAACTCTGGTTACAAGTGAATACCTCAGTTTCCCCTTAACCCCTTGAAATGATTGGAGGAATTAGTGCAAAGCATTGTGTGCTTTATTTCTGTCTTGTCATTTACCTTGTGCTTTTCCCCCCGGTTTTGCAGCAGCACATCGGGCCCCACTGAATTGTTTCAAAGCAGTGAATACTAAAGGTGACCGGTGTGGCAACTGTGGTGGGGATGGACTTACTTACAATAAGTGTCAAGACAAGTAAGTTATATATATTGGTGTCTCTGATGCACTGGAAAATGTACTAAGAAACCTCGGTAAATAAAAATCCCTAATTTTAAGTAATGTAGAAAAATAAATCATAGACAAATGAGAGGAGAGACAGAGCAGCATTTTAACAGTAATTCAGTTTAAGCCTTTCATTTTCACCCCTAGTCAGTTTGATGGTGGCTTGAATTTTTTTTTAAAGGTAGTTCTACATATTCTCCTGTGCAGCCCAGTAGCAAACATTGTCACAACTCTTGTAGTTTCATTCAGCCTCAGGAAGCTAGTACACAGTTGAAAAGATTAACTGGTGGTCTTCTCAGCTCTGCTGTTTTGCATTGAAAAACTTCTTGCCGACTAGAGATTACTTGCTTATAGATTTCAGAGTGGTAGTTGTGTTAGTCTGTATCAGCAAAAAGAACGAGGAGTACTTGTGGCACCTTAGAGACTAACAATTTTATTTAAGCGTAAGCTTTTGTGGGCTAAAACCCACTTCATCGGATGCATGCAGTGGAAAATACAGTGGAAAATGCATGCAGTAGGAAGAATATATATATACACAGACACACAGAGAACATGAAAAAATGTGTGTTGCCACACTTCAATCTCCCTGCTCACTGAATTACAGACCTAAAAGTGGCAATACTACAACAAAAAAACTTCAAAAACGGACTCTAACGAGAAACTGCTGAATTGGAATTAATTTGCAAATTGGACACCATTAAATTAGGCTTGAATAAAGACTGGGAGTGGATGGATCATTACACAAAGTAGAACTTTTCCCCCTACTGTTACTCACACCTTCTTGTCAATTATTGGAAATGGGCCATCCTGATTATCACTATGAAAGTTTTTTTTTCCCTCCTGCTGACAATAGCCCACCTTAACTGATTACATTCATTATAGTTGGTATGGCAACACCCATTTTTTCATGTTCTGTGTGTATGTATGTATGTATATATAATATATATAGTAGATCTTCCTACTGTATTTTCCACTGCATGCATCCGATGAAGTGGGTTTTAGCCCATGAAAGCTTATGCTTAAATATATTTGTTAGTCTCTAAGGTGCCACAAGTACTCCTTGTTCTTTTGGCTTAGATATTGAATCTTAAATGTTGCTTGACTCTTACACCTTGATGGTCAGCCAGGAGGGTGGAGGAAGCACAGGCTTCTTTGTGAAGCCTGGTAACATTGCAAGGCCAGAGGCTTCAGTCAAGGGCCACAGCAGCAGCTATGGCAGAAACCACAGCATGGAAGCAATCCACAGTTTGTAGCCAACAAGCCTTTTTCCTTTAATCCATACATTACTGTTTTGATGATATATTGATTATAGAACACAGCTTACATGTTCCTTGTCTATTTTGTCAGTTACTAATTTTATTAATTACTGAACATTTTATGAGCATCCTTGCAATTAAAACATTTTATCCATTATAGCACACATATATAATAACAGGTGTATCTTCATATACAGTGTGTGTTTACAGAAGAGGGACAAAGAAAATGAACTACTGACCATGGTATTTGGTTTTCTAGAATTCAGTTGACCAGACAGTCCTGGGTAAACAATAGGCTTTTGATGTAACCTTTTGTTTCCTTAACACCAACAGTAATTAGTTACACAAATTAACAAAAGGCAATTTATCCACTAGGCAGTCTATCACAAACTTCAAAGAGACATATGGACAATGACATTATTTTACCCAAGATTCA